AGAGACAATTGCCCAAAATATCAAGGGGGAAGGAACGTTTCGCGCTGTGCTAACATTTGCGTTCAGTGACGGGATTATATTTATATCACATTCGAACGCAACCGTAAGACTTTCAAACACGTCTAAGCTTTTTACAGACGTGTATATTCTATTATATATGCATTATAGCTCACAAAATTACTATAATGCACAGTGCAATGATACACCTTCGCGTAGTAGGTATACTACATTTCAGCGGTATTAAAGTACGTGTAATGCTATCGTGCGTTTTTGGACATCTGCTGGCCATAGCTGAATTAAAGTTGCGAAATTAAAGAGATCGTTAAAATCGACGAATTTGGATTTCACAGTTGAGTCACAGCATATATATATTCAGCTCTCGTGTGAGTTTTTCGCCATCATCTTCTGCCATTTTAATACATGCAAGAGCAACGCCCTTCAAACTTATAAATCGTACACGCAAGTGGTTTTACGAATACAAATAAATATTTTAATCAATATTTCAACACTCGGTCTCCATAATCGGTTTCTGATATTTGGGACTCTATTTTAATATATATAAACGCCAAAAACTTGTTTCGTTACACTGCTTGTTAATCTATAGTATTATCGAGCTACTGACAACAGATATACTATTTTCCGTTACTGTGCAATCCGGCGTTATACGTAAAATCGAACGTAAAAACAAGACAAACAATAAAAACCAAACAAAAATAAGATATTTCAGTTTTTAAAAAGATCATTCGATTTTGGGGCTTTCCAATAAAGTCTTTCGCACATTACGCGATATCTTGCTGTGAGCAGAAACCCACCTATTGCGGAGTACCGGATATACCCATTCACGTGATGTGATGACGTATACAGTACGCAATCAGGGGAAATTCCGTGCATTAAACAATAGCCTAGAAAAAAATATTCATATTGTTACAGAACAATTCTTGCTATTACAATTTCCTGTTGAAAGCATTCATAAAAATAAACAATTAAAATACAATAGAGAGCATTTATTCTCTCTCCATAAACCATCTGTTCACCTCAGAGTACGTTGAGGAACTTCCACATTTACAAAAAACTAGGCACTAATGCACAGGTAACACCCAAATGACGTGTGCTGGAGATGACCCCTTAATCACGACTCGCGTGACAAATTTTTCTAAAATGTAATTGAAAAAATTAAATGTACATGATTCATACATTCGCCATATTGTGCTCATTGTATGTAAACTGTTGTTAAAATAAAGCAGGGTTGTAATTTTTAAATAAACCATAATATGTTAAGCATTCTGTTATTGTGATTCAATAATTGGGCGGAACACATTCAATGGGTTGTTTTATACGGGAATTAATAATTGCTTCAGAAATCGTGATTAATTAAGTGATCAAATAAAGTACGCGAAAATATGTTCAGCTTACAATAATTTTTGTTGACTTCTCGACGGTTTCTATGCGTTTAAAAAAAATAAACAACACAAGCGTGTGCATGCTAAACACATTTAAAAAGGCCTGAACGGCACTCCTCTGAGCATTCGACTTCTCGACTGAGACAAAGACCGACGGTAAGGTGAGTAACAATTTTGTATATTCATAGTTAGCAAGCTATATTTTCTAGCCAGAATTGTGTAAGACATTCGAAACTTCATGTTAATGAAGATAGTGTTTCTGCATTTCACAGTTCTGTCTTTAATCTTTCAATTTAACTGATAATATATCATGACCAAATTATTTCTTTCTCATGAATGTGTCATGTAGGAAGAATAGCTAATACGGTAACTTGATGAGAAATGGGAGGAATCAAAATGGTTTATTGTTTACTTTCTAAGGCAATGCTTGAATTGTCAATGTTTAGTGTGTATTAATTTTTATTTTAGTTTATTAATCTTTCTAGATAATTTTTCAAAATGGTTTCCTATCGCTGCATTACCTACGCACTGGTTTTACTAATTGCAGTCATAAAAGGTGAGGCCAGGTTATACAAATATTACACACAACCCAAATCCATAACAGGTGACTGTGTTAAGGGTGTTATAGTTATGAACCACGCATACACTCAATGACCGGGTTCGACCATTCGAACGGATCTTGAAATTTGACGTCACAATAAAGACGTCATCATTTATTTGGAAACATGCTCAACCACACCCTTCTCATCAAATGTTAGCCATAAATGCTGTTCTAGTATAACATATATTTCCCGAGTATGAATATTCATAAACAGCTATAAATTGATTTGTCGTAATATTTCTCGAAAATTCTACATTTATTAAGTTTATTTCTCAATTTTACTTCGAAATAGTTGACAATAACAGTAACAATACTGCTACTGATATGTCCACAATCTCCTGGTTTGAGATCAAAGTGTCGTCAAATCAGATGGGCGTAGTGTGACCAGTAGCCAGCATGCGAATGTCTGACACAAAATGTCTGCCACGGATCTGCTGTGGCAACTTCTAACGCTTTTGAATTGTATTCAAACACGCGTGCATTTACCAATACACTCGCAATTTATGTATTACTACATTATATATCATCCTCACATTTAGCAATTATTACACCTTTAAATTTATTCCTCCAAAGCTGTAATTAGTAAATATTAACAATGGCGTATTTCACCATGTTTTTGATACAGAAACACTTTCATACCTCATTTCATCGATGGGACATGTCTATGCCTGCTTATATATTTAGCGCAACGAGAGGCGACACAGGGACTGGGCCATTTAATTATTAGTCAAGACTATTAAATATATTATATATATTTCAGGGCAAATTCACATACTAGAAGGGTATTCCGCCAAACTGTAAAATCGGCACATTTTATATTACATACATAGATTCAACTGGTTCTCTGGTTTGGACTGATTGGGCACCGTGCCAATTAACTACTGGAACTTGCACGTCATCTGGATACATGTACGGCTGGACGATACGATATCAGTGCCATGATGACGACAATGAATGTGTCAATAGTCAAGTTGTAAGTTGTCAAGTGCCATGTTCAGGTATGCCACTAACTACTTGGATTTAATTTTGAATACAAACTCCGTCATCTAATATCTATCTCGCACTATATTTAGTGTGATTTTCTTTTCATAATTTCATCGCGAGTGTATGAGACAACGTGGATTTGTATAAGCGAATGTTTACAATTGGACATGAAACAACAATAAAGCCAGTTTCTCCAGAAATAAAAAATTACATGTTTGACTGCGTTTCGCTGAATAATGTCATAAATTTGACATAACTGAAAAAACATTATTATTGTTTGTTCATTTCAAACATTATTTTTTTATTTTCCTTTCATTAAACTCGAATTTGAGTTGCTCACTTTATTCCACGCCACTCCACTGCACTAACTACACTCACTCCACTACACTACACTACGCTCCACTCCACTCC